TTATGAGGTATACTGTGTACAATGTATTATGAATGAAAAACTAAGTCTCATACCACTCACATTAGGTACTGCTTTCATTCTTTCAATGGATTTACGACAGAGGAAGGACAGAGCAGCTTGTGGATCATCTCCCAGCAGTGGATTAATCTCATGCTCTAGTTTCTCAAGAGCTTGACTGTTCTACAACAAAGAATCCACTCATTATAATCACACCATTACATTATAACACTCAAGTACTTACTTGATTTATTTCTTTGTTAGACATTTCCAACATCCTTTGGGCAGTTTTTGTTAATTCAGAGTTGAATCCATTATAAGTGATGCAATTGTTAACAATTAGATTGACATGCTCCGTAAACTGCTGCCTTGTCTCATACTTGTGTTTACGAATATTCTGAAAAATAAAATGAGTGCACATACATGTAGTAACTCAAAAACTTTACATAATTCTACATTACTACATAGCATAAAGACATTGATATCTATTAAAACTGCAATGAAGATTATTTGTAAACTTCAAATGGCAGTATATTAAACCACTAGCTATAAAAATTATTGAAAATACATGTACCGTGTGCTCTTGTCAGAGTTAAAACTAAAACTATGGGATAATACCATGGGCCATAGCCAATAAATCAGTATTTTTTACATATTCTGATGTACAATGATAGACTTATGCGACTGCAATTTTTAATGGACATAAGCAGGGATTGTATTCGTAGTCTATTATATCCCTGACATAAGTCATGACTTGCTCAATTTGCTACAGAGTAAAAGGACATCAATAATATTATGTATAAAAAAATGTAATAAAAATTAAGAGTGATTTCGGAGCCATTTTGGAAAAGAACGATGGGCTATAGCCTTGGGTATTTTTCAGAATTTTGGTGTTCTTAAATTGGCCGTAGCTTGAAAATTGAAGTTGGAATCAGCTCAAACTTTCTATACACCATAAAGACATCAATACCTATAAAAAATGTAATAAAAATTTGGGGTGATTTTAAAGGCATTTTTAGAAAAAACTATGAGCTATAGCCTTAGATATTTTTCAAAATTTTGGCGTTTTGTTACAATGGCCGTAACTTAAAAAATTAAAGCCGGAATCAGCTCAAACTTGCTACATGTACACAGCATAAGGACATCAGAAAATTTCAAAAATTTGGAGTAATTTTGGCTCCAAAATTCCCCATGTCATGGAATCACCATGGTTTCTCTTCCATGTCTTCTTTGTATCACCTTGTGAAACAGAGTCAGTGGCTCGGACAGTAGGTGTTTCTTTACTTTTTGTATCATGATAGGCTACTGCTGGCATCTTTTATATTGGCTCATTCCGGCCATGTTCGACCCGCGTCATTTTCATCCTTATTTTCTTTCATAACATGATATACTATATCCCAACTGAGTTTGACACCAGCCGCTTGGAATTTGAAAAATGTAGGATACGTCACTGATGACGTCTTATAATGATATTCATAGAAGCATGGCCGACATTTTACAGCTGTGTAGTTGGCCTGTATTGCACTCTTAAAAAGGTTTTGTTTGTTCTGATAAGCAGTACAATAGCTGCTGGAGTCAACTAGTCTTTATACAGGCAATCATTATCAGAAGATCTTGCTCTGTTAGCTTTTAAAAAGAAGAATTATCAGTTTGGGAGCTCGACCACATGTTCTTATGTAAACTATGACGTAGATAAATTGTCATAAAACGTCATTTTGGTATGCCATTGAGTTTATAGGGAGAACTCGGTTCTCAGGGTTCCCAAGGGCTGAGAGACCCAAGACCTGAGATCCTGTGATGGCATTGGGCGACTAAGAACCTGTGAAAGTCTCATTCTTATCCCACATTCCTATAAAAAGTTATTCCAGTTTTTCTTGGGTCAAACTCAGTTGGGATATAGTATACTTTCATTTTACTCGGTCATCTATCTAGTTTATTCTTTGGGTCCTCATTTTCTTGTGATGATATTCGAGGCAACTCACTCATGTCATTTTCCAAGTCAGTCCATACGCCAGCTGACCGGAAGTCCGTTTCTGCCTGTATAATTTTATTTTCCACATCCTCAGTGCAGTTATTACATAATGAATTATTCATGAAACAATATTTCTTTTTATAAAAAATAATTTATAAACCTATCACTCGTGAAACTCTGTAAAATAGAAGTTCCCTTTCATATCTAACAAATCTAGAAGTGGCAAGTGCCTGAAGTAAGTTTGAGAGAAGTTATGATCCACTATATAGTTCACACCTGGTAGCACTTGAAGGAAGACTGCAGCATTTGCGACATCAGTTAGCAGCTACCAGTGAAACATCATAGCAAGGAAGCCCACTAGCAGCTGCTGAAGAGTTTTGAAGTTGTTCCC